TGTTGTGTATACAGATCAAAAAAGTTTGAAATTTTTGCTGCAACAAAGAATTTCCAACCCAGGTCAACAAAATTGGATTGCAAAATTGTTGGGATACAATTTCGAAATCTGTTACAAACCGGGCAAAGAAAATAGAGTGGCTGATGCGCTGTCTCGCAGAAATGACGATGGAGAATTGTGGCAGTTGGTTTCCATTCCAATTTGGGTCCAAGGTTCTCAGTTAATTGAAGAAGCAAAGGCTGACGTGGACTTGCAAAAAATCATTCAAGGATGGGTTCGTCAACCGACTGATTTTCCGTGTTATGAAGTAAAACARGGCGTTCTCTATTACAAAGGTCGATTGGTAATTCCTCGAACATCGAAGTTTATTCCGGCTTTATTAGCAGAATTCCATGTTACGGCGTCGGGAGGGCATTCCGGGTACTTGCGTACGTATCGGAGATTGGCTGCCAATCTTTATTGGTCAGGCATGGTTTCTCGAGTTCAACAATTCGTGCGTGCATGTGACGTGTGTCAACGGTGTAAAGCTAGCTCCACCGTTCCGGGAGGGCTGTTACAGCCTCTAAACATTCCAGAAGCAATCTGGGAGCATCTTTCTATGGACTTTATTTTGGGTATGCCGAAATCCAAGGGATTTGACGCTATTTTGGTGGTGGTTGACCGGCTTTCTAAGTATAGCCATTTCATTCTGTTAAAGCATCCTTACTCAGCTCGTTCAGTGGCTGAAATCTTTGTTCGGGAGGTTATCCGACATCATGGAATCCCGAAGTCAATTGTAAGTGATAGAGATCCTCTTTTCTTAAGCCATTTTTGGCAAGAAATTTTTCGGTTACAAGGAACGAAATTACACATGAGTTCGGCTTATCACCCTGAATCTGACGGRCAGACTGAGGTCATCAATCGTTGCTTGGAATCATACTTGCGGTGCTTTGCAACTGACCAGCCGCGAAATTGGGCTTCTTGGGTTCCGTGGGCAGAATTTTGGTATAATTCTTCTTTCCATGTGTCAACGGGAAMGTCACCGTTTGAAATTGTGTATGGACGGAAACCACCATCTGTATTACAGTTTGTTCCGGGGGAAGTACGGGTGGAGGCCGTTGGGCAAGAACTTCGGGATCGGGATGAAGCCCTCAAGCAACTTCAAGCTCACTTAATTCATTCCCAGTCATTGATGAAAGAGCAAGCGGATAAGAAGAGGAAAGATGTTAGTTTTGAAGTGGGGGAATGGGTATATGTTAAACTTAAGCCATATCGACAGATGACAGTAATCCACCGAATCCATCAAAAGTTGGCAGCACGTTTCTTTGGACCTTTTCAGGTGTTAGAGCGCATCGGGCCGGTGGCTTATAAAGTTCAACTTCCGCCAGAATCACGGATTCATCCCGTTTTTCATGCGTCGTTACTAAAAAAGGCGGTGTCTCCGAGTAAAGTGGATTCAGTCTTACCCCCCGAATTGGAGTTAACAGCCGAGGATGTGGCTGTTCCAGATTTGGTGATGGCGGAACGTACTGTTGGGGTGCAACACGAGTCAGTCTTACAATGGCTTATTAAATGGAAGGGTCGTCCGACTGACGAAGCCACATGGGAGGATGCGGTGGTTATTCAAACTCAATTTCCTGATTTAAATCTTGAGGACAAGATTTGTTTGGAAGAGGGGAGTAATGATAAGGATCGGGATAAATTAGTTCAAGGGGATAAAATGTTAAAAGTTTATAAAAGGAGGGCTAAAAAGGGACAATCGAAAAGTGGCTAAGTCG